TGATCGGTGCGTGCCCGCTGCTCTGGCTGGGAAACCATGTCTCATCTGTGTGTGTTTGTGTGTGTGCAGTTACAGGAGCTGATGTGTCACGTGATGATGGGGAACCTGGTGATGTTCCGGAAAGATTCTGTGCTCAACATCCTCAGTGAGAAACTCGGATTAAAAGTTTGACTCTTCAGTTTTTCAGGCCATGGTCCATCTTCATTTACTTGTTTGTCCTCGATCTCCACAGTTCAGTCACTCGAGTGGGAGACCTTCGAGCAATATAGCACCTGGCAGCTGTTTCTGGCCCACAGCATTCCCCTGGAAACCATCATCCCCATCTTGCAGCACCTCAAATACAAAGGTGAATAAATCCTCAATAGACAGGGACACAAAGCAAAGGAAAGATTGTAACCCTCCTTTCTGTTTATGGTTCAGAGCACCCCGAGGCCTTGTCCTGCCTGCTGCTGCAGCTTCGCAGAGAAAAGTATGACACATAGCAGACACCCCATTTAACATGTGTTTCTGTTCCGCATTTGAGCTGTGTTTCTGTGTCCCTGTTAACATCCCTTCATGTTTTTGTGACAGGCCCAGCGAAGAGATGGTGAAAATGGTCCTGAGTCGTCCCTGTCACCCAGAAGACCAGTTCACCACTAGCATCCTGAGACACTGGGCTACCAAATACGACGACACTCTGGCAGAAAACATAAAGGCCCAGCTGATCAAGAACAACAACCAACCCCGCAAGAGACAGAGGTAAGCACAGAGAGTTAACCACAAAAAGTGACTAACGTAGAAAGAGACTGAGTTCAGGGAAAAGCTCTAAAAAGACAGGTAAGAAAAGAAAAACAGATGAGGGCACAAATAGATGAAAGAGAAACAAAGACAGAGAAGAGGTTAGGATAATGTAAAAACAGAAATTACGATAAAAAGGACAAATTGAAGGCGATGACATAAGGACATAAAAAAAACCCCCAAAAAAGGTGAGGACTGTGAGTTCTGCCTGGGACTCTCCCCTCTTTGCATCTGTACTTCTTGGGGCTCTCCTCGGCTGTGTCCCATATCAGGGGCTTCACACTTGCAGGACTCGGCCCATGCAGAGTGGGTTCTTCAAAGACCACAAGGCCACAAGTAAGTGGCTATATGATACAAAAACATAACATCCTTATAAAATACGATGTAACGCTGTAGATCAGGGGTGTCCAAATCCAGGCCTCGAAGGCCGGTGTCCTGCAGGTTTCAGATGTGTCCTTGATCCAACACAGCTGATTTAAATGGCTAAATTACCCCGTCAACATGTCTTGAAGTTCTCCAGAGGCCTGGTAATGAACTAATCATTTGATTCAGGTGTGTTGACCCTGGGTGATATCTGCAGGACACCGGGCCTTGAGCCCTGTAGTTGGACAAACCAGCTGTTGATGAACTTACCTCAAAATATATAAAACGTTTTCAGACAAAGGAAATCAAATGTGTGGTAAGTTGCAGGATTAAAACACAAATTAAAATAAAAATGTACATACTTTATATCTGTAAGCAATTGGAACCTGAGCTGCATTAAGTCAGTGGTTCCCAAACTGTTTTTGCTAGCCCCCCCTTTGTTTTACAAGAAAAATGTTCGCTATAATATGGTGAAGATATGCTTCACCATATTTTCTAGTCTTTAGCTTAGAATGAAGTTGGTTTGGAAACATATTCAGCGATGCTTCTGAATTGGGACATGCCCCTCCTCTGTTCATCTGTACTTCTGAGGCTCATTTCTATGTCTGTAGTGTCAGTTCTGTTAACTTTATTCTGTCTTCAGTCTGCGCAGTTCGAGCAGTAAACTGGCTCAGCTGACCCTGGAACAGATCTTGGAGCACATGGACAACCTCAGACTGAGTCTGAGCAACACCAAGAACAACTGTCAGTACCCTCACACACAGTTCTCGATTGTCAACCAATTACTGATGACCTGAATGTGCTAATGTCTGTATGTCTCTGTCAGTCTTCACTCAGACTCCGATACTTCAGGCTCTGCAGCACGTCCAAGCAAGCTGTGATGAGGCCCACAAGATGAGGTACATTTACTCCCACAGACACACACAAACGATTACATCACAACACTGCTGTTTACGTCACATCTTCCCTGTCAGGTTCAGCGATCTGTTCGCCCTGGCGGAGGAATACGAGGACTCTCAGTCGAAGCCGCCAAAGTCGCGCCGTAAAGCTCCAGCCTCGTCACCTCGTTCCAGGAAGGGAGTCGCACCACCCACCAACAACGAGGAAGAAAGTGCATCCAGCAGCGGCTCTGTATGTACCCCCTCTATACAGGTTCAAGTCTTGTTTTGGTTCAGGTCTATTTCTGATCTTGTTATGTTGTTGCAGGAGGAGGAGGACTCAAAGCCCAAAGCTCCAAAGAGGAAACGGAAAGGATCATCAGCTGTTGGCTCTGACAGTGACTGAAGGAACCTCCAAACAAGATCACATGCCAGCTGCTCCACGTACTGGGAGAGACCATATCTCTTCCTGATGACATGCACTGACTGCTGCTGGGAGGTGGAGCTCTGAGATGCTGCCAACTTTAACTCCATGTGATGAACTGACTTTTAATGTGCTGTTTCCATGGAGACCAGCAGTCGAAGGTCACTGTGTGTGGCTGATCTCCCACAATGCACTGTGGGAAGGAGGAACTCAGACTGATTTTAACAGCAGACATGATGATGATGATTTTTTTTTCCTTTTTTGGGGGGATGGGTTGTACTTTTTTTTTTTTTGGAAAAATCCTCACTTCTTGCTGTTTTTAGCGCCTCCTTCCTGTTTGGCTCCCTGCAGTAAAAGCTCCGTCATGTCAATGAGTTCTTTGTATAAAAACTGATGGTTGGTTTCAGACTCAGCTGTCTGTTATTGGGAGTTCGATGGGGGTGGAGAGGGTGAAGGGGAATGGGGTGTGCAGCAAAGGTCCTTTTAACACCTTTTCGTGGCGTTCATCAGATGCAGGAGGGTAAAAAACAGAACAGACGAAGCAGCTCAGAAGTGAACTGACTTAAAGCTGGGTAATAAAACGGTGAGTGCACGGAGCAGCCAGTGAGGAGCAGTGATGTCATTGCGTTTCTGTTATAGCTGGACTCAGCCAATAGCAGAACAGTTAACAGAATTAACCCATGTGTTGTCCTTGGGACATTTTTGTCCTCTGCAGAAATCTTTTGCTATCAAAAATGTGTTTTTTATTCATCAAATGGTCTGAAAATAACAGTTATTCGGTACTATGCTATGCATGATTGGAATAAGTTTTAAGTAATTTGTTTTATTTATGGGGTTTTTATTGGAGTTTATAACACCTGCTGTCCTCGGGGATGAAAATGTGCCCAAAGTACAAAGTGTTGCAAAGGGCCATATTTTCACACCATACTGCTTTCAAACATCTTTGATCTTGAATCACTGATGTGTGGGGTCAAGCAATGGTCATAACAACCACAACAACAACAACAGGCAGCCCAATGAGGAGGCAGGTGCTCTACATTCAATTCAATTGTATTTTTACAGCGCCAAATCACAACAACAGATGCATCAAGGTGCTTCATATTGTAAGGTAGACCCTACAATAATACATACACAAAGTATGCTCACAAGCCTCCATTGCACTGGAGGCTTGTGAGCATACTTTTTTTTTTTTACCATGTTGAGCAAAGGAATGACCAGTAGAGCAAAGCACATATTGTCCTCTAGTATAATGAGAAGGAAGAATCCACTTTCAGGAAGATTCAGGGTTAGAAGATAAAGAAAATATTGCCAATATTTAGATTACATGCTACCCTTTCTCTGAAAAAGCACATCACCCTCCTGCAGAAGTGGAAGAATGCTATGAAGGGAAGGAAGTGATGAAGAATCTGAACTATGTTCAAGGAGGTTCTCATGAATCCAGGACATGGTAGTCTGAGGCGCTTGGAAAGAAAGTGACTGGGCTTCTTAAAGCTTCTTGAATTTTCAGAATGTGAAACTGAAATAGAAGATGTGTCAGAGGACTACACATCTTCCATTTCAATTATGATGAAGATCAAGCAAGAAAGAGGACTCAGCTGAGACAGGAATATTTGCAGTAATGTGAGGAAACACTGATCTGGTCTTCTATCCTTCCCAGTGACAGACGATGCATGACTCTCTCGTGCATCACAGAGAAAGACAATCTATCACAGTCCAAGCACATATGCCAGGTCCCATACTCCTTCAGTGGCTTTTCTACTCGAGTACTGAAAGCATTATATACAATGTATTCTGCTTGTATTATGCTTTTTAATTTTCAAATGCCAATGGATGCATCAGAGACCAAGTTGGGGTTCAGTAACTTGCCCAAGGACACCTAGGTAAGAACTCCAGACTAGAGCACACAGAGACTGAATGAGATAAAAACATGGGCAGTATGTGATGCCAGGTACAGCTGTACTTGGAGTGTACGATGGCACACCGTCTGGCCTGCAGTCAGGGCATGCGAGTTGTCCCTAACATTGCAGAAGGTTTCCAAAAGAAAACAATCACCAGTAACAACTTGTTTACTTCATATGCCCTTGGCCTGCAACTGCAGAAAAAGAAAGCTGTCCATGATGGGACCAGTACAGAGGAATAAACCTGAACTTCCTCCTGCACTTGTGTCAAATATGGACACGCCTTTGTTCTCAAGAAAGTTTGCCTTCACTAAGAACCATGCCCTGGTGTTCCTACCATGCCAAAATATAGAAAAATGTCATGTAATGAGTCAGAATAAAGTTGAATAAGACCTTGAAACACAGAGATGAATGATATTTTATACTTTTATACTTACTGCTTTATAAATATAAATAAGTCGGACTCGTTCCCGGTGGGTGATGGGCTCCGCCAGGGCTGCCCTTTATCACCGGTTCTGTTCATAATTTTTATGGACAGGATTTCT